ACTCCCCTGGGGAAATAGGCGGACTATTTTAGCTCATGGTAACACATGACATCCCATCTCCCTTTCAGATTGCGAAAACAGAAAAGGGGAATGGTTATGCCCTCGTTCCAATTACAGCCCTAATTTTCCCCAAACTTAGCTCCTAATATTCACTCCCACAGGACATAACATTTGTTATATGGGAAAGGGCCATTTCTGTTGGAAGGGACGACAAAATGTCACTGTAGAATCATATGACTTCTTTAAAGAACATCGTTTTCTCTCCCAAATATATACCAGTATACAGTGCAATACAAGTGGTGTGAAAAATAGATGTGTCTACTGTTAATAAGTCCTATAACAATTTGGATACAGAAGACCAGGTATTTCTCGCACTTGATTTATACCCTCGTCAGGATGTTATACCTATGGAGACCAATTGGCCAGAAGAAAACCAAGATGTGCCCCTACTACCTTGGGCGCATGTTTTGAGGACCTCCTGAGGGCTGTGTCACAGGCCATGGTCAGTCATATTTAGCTCAGAATTAAATCTCTTCAATATATTGCAGAGTTTGACTACTTTGCTCTACAAGGTAATGGGGATCGGGGTAGAAATGCACCGATGTGAAGGACGGCGCCATTTCTGGCCTCAAGGTGAAAACACCTGGAGAAGGAGGAGAAGGGGGAGGGGAACGGAGAGAGGAGGGGGAAGGGAGGGGAGGAGTGGAAGTGGAGGAGCAGGAGGAGGAGGAGGAGGAGCTGCTGAACCTGGAGCTCCCGCCAGCGCCTGGGTGAGTCCTTGAGGTGGAAGAAGAGGGACTTGGTGCTGAGCCTGCCCCAGATTCACCTGCACCAGAGCCCTAGAATCCCAGTTTCTGGATGGGACCCAGTCCTACCCAGGCCAGGCGCTCCCTTGCCCTGGAGCCCGGGCCCTGCCTGGCCCTTGCTGCCGCCTCTCATGAAAGAGTCCGGGCCCCCCCGCATTAGTGGGGCTCTGGGAGGGCGGCGCCAAAGACGGTCCCGGCCCAGTGGGACTTTCCGTCCCCAGGGGGATCCTGACGCCCTGAGGGCTGCAGAACAGCCCCGCCTGCGCTGGGACGGCCATCTCCGGACTTGCAGACAAAGCGGCTTCTCCAGCGCCCAGACTCGGAACCTACCCGGGTGCACAGACTGCTGAGGACACCCTGGCTGGGCCTCTCATGTGGATGAAGGCGGCCTCCGCCCCAACCGAGATGCAAAACTCTGAGGAGAATCAAACCTGAAAGGGCGCCTGTCCTCCTTCCCAGAGGGGAAAGAGAGTTCCTGAAACCTCAGTGGAAGAGAAAACGCTTTGAGGGCTCGGGGGACCAAGGACGCCCTTCCCAGGACAGCAAGGCCCGAGTAGGAGGAAGCTGCACCCACCTCCAGGGGACATGTGAGGTTTTAGAGGCTCAGGCAAGTCAAGGGCAAACGCCCTCCACTCCCCCGGGGTCATGAGCACTCCGCGCCTATTGCGGTTGGGCTCAGGGAGGCCAGGACAGTATTCCCCTATCTCCCCTGCCTCCAGGACCCAGGCCTGGGCTCCCAGGTTGACCAGAAAAAGGTGGTGGTAGCTCTAGCTGGCCATGGAGGTACAGGCTGGGACATGCAGGCCAACAAAGAGGTGCTGGGCCCTCAAGGAGACTGCTGGATTTCCTAGACAGGGAGAGCCTGGGAGCAGCTGTGAGCAAGCACAGGTGCCCATCCCAACCAACAGAGCCAAGCTCTGTCCAAACACTTGCTGAGTCAGACCATTCCCAGGGCCCAGAGGTGCAAATAGTGACCTCATGGGGGACTTGGAAGGAGGAGCACAGGAAAAGCCCCAAATTTGCCAAGAAAACTCTCAGAAATGTGGCAGTTATTTCATAGGTACATGAATAATAAACCCAAACAATGGAAAACAAAACTAAACAAAGGCAAATGTGAATGGAAACGTGATGAATGAGAGCAGGAGAATGTCTCAGTTGGACACAAGCACAGGAGACACCACTACTTCATTCAATCACGTCAATATTTATTCAAAAGCATTGGTCTGGGAGCCTGGACTAAGACAAGGAATGGGGCACAGCTTGGAGAAGAAGGGGAGAGTCTCAGGGCAGAAATAGAGCACCAGCCTTAGGAATTATTTATCGTGGCATCAGACCAACGACTGCAAGGACATCAGCATTCAAGGGGCAGTGTTAGTCCTGGGAGTGAGCAGCTGTCTTCAGATGAATTTTCAGGCCACGTCATGCTGGAAGCAGAACTCTCACATGGAGCAGTCAGGGATTCGATTGAGTGTGGTTGGATTCATGTAGTTAAATAAGAAGAGAAATTCTAAGGGATAGTGTGTGTGAAGTGAAATGTGAATGTTTTGTTTGAACTCCCTGCAGTTCTCCCCGTTCCTGCAGCATCTGGGACCCTCTGCTGTTGAAGACAGCGGGTGATGATGGGAAACAGCAAAGGGGAAGAAAGCGGTGCAGCGCGAGTTACGGCAGACGCCAGCGTGGGCTCGGCGGGCCCCACACTCTGACGGTCAGCGGGCGCCGGCGGCCCAGGGCAATGAAGGGCTTAGCACCCTGGCCAGCAGCTGCCGAGGTTGAGCAGGGTCCCCCAGCACTCCTGGCGCTGTACTCAAATTCTCGCCAGGCCTCAGCTGCCTCCCCGCGGGGCAGGGCTCAGGACCTGCAGCCCGCCATGCTCAAGCCCCCTCCGCTCCGCCATGGGCTCCCAAGCGGCCCAAGCCTCCCCAACGGCCGCCGCCCCCTGCTCCGTGATGCCCAGTCCTATCCACTGCCCAAGGGCTGAGGAGTGCAGGCGGGGCTCGGGACTGGTGGGCAACTCCGCCTGCAGCCCCTCCGCCTGCAGCCCCTCCGCCTGCAGCCCCAGTGAGGGGATCCCCTGGGTGAGGCCAGCTGGGTTCCTGAGTCTGGTGGGGACTTGGGGAACTTTTATGTCTAGCTAAGGAATGGTAAACGCACCAATCACCACTCTGTGTCTAGCTCAGGGTTTGTAAATACACCAATCAGTACTATGTCTAGCTCAAGGTTTGTAAATACACCAATTAGTACTCTGCATCTAGCTAACTCTGTGTCTAGCTAACCTAGTGGGGATTTAGAGAACTTTTCCATCTAGCACTCTGCCTCTAGCTCAAGGATTGTAAACGCACCAATCAGCACTCTGTGTCTAGCTCAAGGAGTGTAAACGCACCAATCAGCACTCTGTGTCTAGCTCAGGGTTTGTAAATACACCAATTGGTATTCTGTATCTAGCTAACCTAGTGAGGACTTGGAGAACTTTTCTGTCTAGCACTCTGTTACTCGTGTCTAGGTCAAGGATTGTAAACACACCAATCAGCACTCTGTCAAAATGGACCAATCAGCTCTCTGTAAAATGGAACAATCAGCTCTCTGTAAAATAGACCAATCAGCAGGATGTAGGTGGGGTCCGATAAGGGAATAAAAGCAGGCTGTCCCAGCCAACAGTAGCAACCTGCTGGGGTCCCCTTCGGCACAGTGGAAGCTTTATTCTTTTACTCTTTGCAGTAAATCTTGCTGCTGCTCACTGTTGGGTCCATGCTGCCTTTAAAAGCTGTAACACTCACCACAAGGGTTCGCAACTTCACTCCTGAAGCCAGTAAGACCACGAACCCACCGGGAAGAAGGAACAAACTCCCTACACACCATCTTTAAGAACTGTAACACCGCGAGGGTCCGCGGCTTTATTCTTGAAGTCAGCAAGACCAAGAACCCACCAATTCTGGACACACCATGGGCTGCACTGAGACTGTGGCCCTGACCTGGCCCGACTCCTTCCTCTGCAGGGTCCCTGTATTCTGTAGATTTTCCTCAAAATTCTTGTTTCTTCTCACAATCAATCCTGAATGAGGTCACATGGAGGACATGTTACAGCCTGCTTCTATTTATCAGAAAGCCCTCCCCAACTCCAAATTTATACATTTGTAAAATTATGTTAAAATATCCCAACAAAGTACAGAATAAAACATGTGGCAACAGCCCAGAAAATGAAGTCTTTATTGCTGTTTCAGAAAAATATCCAGGAGACTGTCCAGGGAATCTCCCTTCTCAGCAGTTAGGACTGCGGACAGGAAGTTTTCCTCACAATGGACATTGCCTAAGTTGCCCCAAAGCCAGGGCGGCGCCTCCTCCCTGACCAGAGGAAAGGAAGCTGAGGTACTTCCTGGAGACCCAGCCCCCTCTCCGCAGGCAGAAAGCGCATGCGCCCCGCAGGGCGGAAGGCGTGTTCTGCCGGTCGTGGTGTTGCAGCGCAGGTGGCTTGGCCTTTACTGCTTAGCGGTGGGCCTAAGTCTCCGAATGGCTGAAATTCTGGTTTAGATTATTCAGTGTGTTTCTTTTGGAAGATCAAATGAAAATAGAGCACGGTATCACTTGCTTTGATGGAAGATAATTGAAATAAAGAAGCAACGTCAAAGGACCATATACAAAAGGCGATTGATTCCCTGTATGTGGATGGAAGAGGAGCTTGAATAATAGAAGGGTGCTGTGATAGTTTAATGCTGGAAACCTGCCGCTATGCATTTGTCAAATCCCATACAATTTTACCGCATAAATAGTACATCTTAATGTGGCTCAGGACTACAGCTTATGTCATATACGATTTGGGGGAAAATTATGTATTTAATTAAATAGGTTAAACTGTGAACAATAATGTGGGCCCTGCCTGGACCAGATTGCCTGCCAAGCAGATTGCCACAGGCTTGGTGTCTCCTCATCCTCACACAGTACTTGACATAAACCCTGGCTTCACTGTAGAATCACGTGTGGAGAATATTTAGTTTTATGATGTAGCACTTTCACCCATGAATTAGCCCATTTAATTGACTTCATTAAGGTCCATGGTTTCAGGATTTCGCAGTTTGCTAAAAGCTCAATGTCATCCCAATTTATTTCCTGGGACCATTTCTCCTTGAAGTTTACATTCAATACTGAAGTTTGCTGAAAGCCAATGCATTTCCAAGTTCTAGAGTCAAATCAGAGGATGCCTATTTGGTCACAACTTTTATTTTGCTTGCAGAAAAGTACATTGCAGAAGGGTTTGCATGGTGGCTGAGAGGTTAAGGTGCTTTACCTGCTAGGCCACAGTAAGGGGAGCACAACTGTGTCCTCTGTGTCATAACTCAGGACTCACATGAATAAAACGTGGAATGTCAGGAGATGAACTTCTACTCCCATTTAGGGGAGCTTCAAGGAGAATGTCCCAAGGGCTTTCTGAGGGAAAGATGAGCAGGGATGCCTAATTCTCTGGCCCCAGGGAGTTGTTCATGGGCAGAGACAAGGGCTGGAGTAATTCAATGGTTTATACTGGGTGTTTTTGATACTGCCCCCATTTCCCCTGCTCAATCTGTGTAATGGATCACCGAGAAACCTGGCACGTGGGGCTGAAGATCCGTGTTGTGTCAACTCCAGGGAGGGATCCAGATAAGTGGTTTTGGTGGAAGTTGGAATGAAGGGAGTTTGGCTGTGGAAAGAAAAAAGGCTGTTGAAGATGGGGAAATGGGAACAGAAGGTTGAAATCTCTATTCACATGCCAAGGATAGCTTATGCAAATCTATGTGCCAGACCTGCATAAACAAAACTACAACTTTAACAACTATTAGGTTTTTCAGCAACAGGTTTTAATGTTTCAATATTTGCAAGTATTTTTCTATTAAAAATAATAAAGTTGTTTACATAATTTTGTATTCAAAATTCCCAGGTCACATAACTATTATACATTTCACATTTTAATGAATAGACACATTCTCTAAATTATGAATTATTTGCTCAATTGTATGTTAGTTTTCTTTTTTTGTTCTCCACGACTCAGTGTTCTGACCTGAAATCTGCAGTATTTGGTAATCCACAAGATGATCGGTTGTCCTTGTGAAGACTTTCCTTTCCTATTTCCTTCTCAAGAAGGTATTTTTTACTGATTTATTTTTTAACATACAAAGGGTGGCACCCGGCTGAATGTTGGTTCACAGTGAATAGAGACCAAGGTTTCTCTCGATTGGAGTCCCAAATTCCTTACAGAGCTAAGAATTCTCTACCCTGCAAATCTTGTGTGTTTTAAGCTAGAGCTTTTGCAAAATACTTATTATATTGACAGTTTTCATTCTCATGTGATTTATATTCAGATAAGTCTTTGCTATGTAGATGGCATACATATAGCTTCTCTTCTATATAAATTCATTCATGTAGACTGAGGAATAAGGATAACGGAATGATTTTCTATATTGGTTACCATGTTTATTCAATGTGTGAGCCCTCTGGTGTGTTTAGTTGTTAAATAGATGGCCAACGTCTCTTCACATTCATTCCATTTATAGTATCATGTCATCTAAGGGCAGAATATTTTCAGATGATACTAATTTTCTCCCTAGTATAAGGATAGTACATCGACTGAAGGATGTAACCCATAGACAACATCCTTAAAGTTTCTTTCCATTGTTACTTTTCTCATGTCTAATGGCAGAACATTGACTGAAGGAAAACTCAGTGGAGAGAACTCACTGGAGACAAACCTTTGATTATTCCTTTGATTAAGGAATAATCAAAACTATTAAAGTGACAAACAGAACAGTGGTTTCTACAGGACTATGGGAGGAAGAGGAGATTGAATAAGCAAAATATTTGATGTAATACTTTAATTATAGATACCTGGTACTCTTCATTTGTCAAATCCCACACAATTCACAGTACAATAGTGAGTCTTAATAAATACAAGCTTGAAAATGTTTTGGAGGTAAGGAGATCCAAGGATGGAATGAAGATGTTACCAAAACATTAATTTTGTTAAAAAATATGGAACCAACAGACTGCAGGTGGTTGGTGGGAAAGGGATTGGTCAAAATGTCTTTGGAATGAGTGAAATCTTTAAAACCAGAAGAAAAAGGAACAAATAGTATGCTCTGTTTGATAAAGTTCTTTCCTATGGGAATACTAGTTAATAATTCTGAAACCACTATATATGTACACTGGAATTGAGCAAATCATAAAAAAGCATGGCAGATAGTATGGCCCAGATATCTCACTGCCTTTGGGAATTTACAGATAAATAAAGTTAAAGTACAGATAGGCAATTAAAAAAAGACTAGAATAGTGTGGGTAGTAATGAATTAGAGCTGGATGCACCACGATGAACTGATGTTTAGCGTAGTACACATGCAGATATTACTATTAAGCAAATGTCTGTAGTTAGATTCATATACTGAACTTACTCCACATACATATATTCTCTTACATGATCAATTTAGAGAGCTGGGAAACAGCAATGTGCAATTTAATTCCATAATCTGTTCTTTTTTAATACCAGTATCTAAGATAATGAAACAGGGCTCTTTGGAGAAATAGCTGATATTAGAACTGGTGCAAAAAATGCACAAAAACATCCTGCAGAATCTAAATTTTCAAAAAGGATGTAGTGCAAAAACAAACAAAAAACTAAGATGGGATTCTGAAAAAAGGAAAGCAGGCACAAAAAAACAGACCTACCAATGGCTGATGTTAGAATATTTTAAGCAAACAAACTGGAATTTGATTATAACTTAATCTCCAAAAGAAATACACATGAGTTGATACTTAGATGAATAAATTATTGAACACAAAATGAATAGGAAAAGATAACAATTTCTCATGCAGAAAAATTCCAAATAATTGCTTTAAGTACTCAGCCATCAAGGAGATGAATCACAAGTTCCAGTTCCTTATCTTTGAGCTGCACATAGTGATTTTCTTTTGAAGAATAGAGTCAATACAGACAGGAGAAAATGACTAAATTCACAGTGGAGAAATATCACTAACACTACATCAGGCAGTCATTTTTTGTTCATATCAATAGTTATAAGTCATCTTGAGCGCATGTACGCTTTCAGGTGAACTGAGGAAATTAATTTATCTCTGTGATTTTCCTCTTAAAAATGCAAACTCCCTAATTAAAAAGATAGCAGATGAACTTGACTGGAAAACCTCAAAACTATAGAGTTCATCAAAAACAAGAAAAGTCTGAGAAAGTGTCAAGTCAAGAAAAGCATGAAGAGTCATGAGGATTAAATGTGATGTAACATGATGAATGAAATTCTGGAACAGTGAAGGTTAACCCAGTGCAATCTGAGTAAAAATTGAATTTTAGTTCACAGTAATAAATCAATATTTGTACATAAATTTTGACAAATACGTCACAGTAATGTATAATAGTAATGAAATGGAAAACAGAGTATGGAGTTTATGGGAAGTCTTTGCATAATGTTCACAAATTTTCTGCTAATTATTCTAAATATAATTGTTATAAAATAAAAATGTGTATTAAAACATAATTATATTTTTGTCCCTGATTGCAGATGACATGATTGTAAATTTAGAAAACCCCATCGTCTCAGCCCAAAATCTCCTTAAGCTGATAAGCAACTTCAGCAAAGTCTCAGGATACAAAATCAATGTGCAAAAATCACAAGCATTCCTATACACCAATAACAGACAAACAGAGAGTCAAATCATGAGTGAAGTCCCATTCACGATTGCTTCAAAGAGAATAAGATACCTAGGAATCCAACTTACAAGGAATGTGAAGGACCTTTTCAAGGAGTACTACAAACCACTGCTCAATGAAATAAAAGAGGACACAAACAAATGGAAGAACATTCCATTCTCATGGATAGGAAGAATCAACATCGTGAAAATGACCATACTGCCCAAGGTAATTTATAGATTCAATGCCATCCCCATCAAGCTACCAATGACTTTCTTCACAGAATTGGAAAACATTAAAGTTCATATGGAACCAAAAAAAAAGCCCGCATTGCCAAGACAATCCTAAGTCAAAAGAACAAAGCTGGAGGCATCATGCTACCTGACTTCAAACTATACTACAAGGCTACAGTAACCAAAACAGCATGGTACTGGTACCAAAACAGAGATATAGATCAATGGAACAGAACAGAGCCCTCAGAAATAATACCACACATCTAAAACCATCTCATCTTTGACAAACCTGACAAAAACAAGAAACGGGGAAAGGCTTCCCTATTTAATAAATGGGGCTGGCTAACCATAAGTAGAAAGCTGAAACTGGATCCCTTCCTTACACCTTATACAAAAATTAATTCAAAATGGATTAGAGACTCAAATGTTAGACCTAAAACCATAAAAACCCTACAAGAAAACCTAGGCAATACCATTCAGGACATAGGCGTGGGCAAGGACTTCATGTCTAAAACACCAAAAGCAATGACAACAAAAGCCAAAACTGACAAATGGGATCTAATTAAACTAAAGAGCTTCTGTACATCAAAACAAACTACCATCAGAGTGAACAGGCAACCTACAGAATGGGAGAAAATTTTTGCATCTACCCATCTGACAAAGGGCTAATACCCAGAATCTATAAAGAACTTAAACAAATTTACAAGAAAAAACCAAACAACCCCATCAAAAATTGGGCGAAGGATATGAACAGACACTTCTCAAAAGACATTTATGCAGCCAACAGACACATGAAAAAATGCTCATCATCACTGGCCATCAGAGAAATGCAAATCAAAACCACAGTGAGATACCATCTCATGCCAGTTAGAATGGCGATCATTAAAAAGTCAGGAAACAACAGGTGCTGGAGAGGATGTGGAGAAATAGGAACACTTTTACACTGTTGGTGGGACTGTAAACTAGTTCAACCATTATGGAAGACAGTGTGGCGATTCCTCAAGGATCTAGAACTAGAAATACCATTTGACCCAGCCATCCCATTACTGGGTATATACCCAAAGGATTATAAATCATGCTGCTATAAAGACACATGCAAACGTATGTTTATTGTGGCACTATGCACAATAGCAAAGACTTGGAACCAACCCAAATGCCCATCAATGATAGACTGGATTAAGAAAATGTGGCACATATACACCATGGAATACTATGCAGCCATAAAAAAGGATGAGTTCATGTCCTTTGTAGTGAAATGGATGAAGCTGGAAACCATCATTCTCAGCCAACTATCGCAAGGACAGAAAACCAAACACCGCATGTTCTCACTCACAGGTGGAAATTGAACAATGAGAACAGCTGGACACAGGAAGGGGAACATCACATACCGGGGCCTGTTGTGGGGTGGGTGGAGGGGGAGGGATAGTATTAGGAGATATACCTAATGTAAATGATGAGTTAATGGGTGCAGCACCCCAATATGGCACACGTATACATGTGTAACAAACCTACACGTTGTTCATATGTACCCTAGAACTTAAAGTATAATAATAACTAACTATATATTTCTAACACATATATGAGTAATTAGTCCTATTAATTAGTTATAGTTCACATTGTTTACTTGTCTTTTTTCATTTTTTAAACAGATGTATTTATCACATGAACTAGTGAATATTACAAATAATATGCTTTCAAATAGTTGCCTATATTGCATATTTTAAATAAAATAATCCATTTACATACACTTGTGAGATACATATATATATGCATATAAAA